GATCCAAAATCAATATTTGAGCAAGTACATAACCAGCCAGTGTTCAATACTATTGCCTTACTTTAGCCCGATTCTAATTTGAGTGGTACGGGTAGGGTTTTCACACTTGGTCTTTTTCAGGGGTCTGAGCGCGGTTCGCGTGATTTTTGGCCCATATGTGAACACTCCAAACAATCTCAGACCCCTCAGAAGCGAACTGAACCGAGACCATGTCGGGAGGTGGTCTGAGTAAGGTTAGCTTTCGGCTAAAGGTACGGTTCCCTAAAAATGTGCATTGTGAACACAAATCGGCCCAGGCTCACAAATTGTTCGCTCTCAACGTACACTCGTTTATTTTAATTTCAACCACTTTCAAACTGTAGTACAGCAGCCTAATATGAGAATCAGTAGAATCTATTATTCATTAATTATATAATAATATGCATTTAAATTGTTTTCATTTGATTAGTACATTTCTTACTTAAATGCTGCATTTAAGGATACCTGTGCTGTACCTCAAAAATTTTAAGCTGTTTATTATATTTTATTTTATTTTATTTGTCCAATTAAATTTTTTTTCTATATCAATGTCAGCATGCCTTTTCCGCTGGTCCTTAAAAAGTCTTAATCGTATCAAATTTAAGGCCATAAAAAGTACAATGGAAAACAATTGTCATATAGCTTAATGCAATGATTAAAATGAAAAAGGCTATGATTTCATTGGATAAATATGAGCGCTGCACTTTTCAAAGTCTATCTTTATGCAGTTCTGAAAGCGCCACCTGCTGGCAGAGAATGAATTAGCATTTTTTAACAGCCCTTCTGCTGGTTTAAAATAATTGATATTAAACCAGCCATTAAGCCATTAATATAATAATTGATACATTTGATTTTTAACTCTTTTCTTAAAAATGGTTTGAAATTTGAAAGGCTGAAATTTGAAATTTTATTTCATTTTTTTATATATTTTTCTTTTGTGAAAACCTGTATCTGAACTGTAAATCATACTTTTTACCGTCATTTTAAAACATTGCCCCACCCCACTCATATGGCATAAATTTTATCTGTGCAGGTCTTAAAAACAGTCTTAAAAAGTTTTAAATTTGAGCTTAAAAATCCTGCAAAAACCCTGTGTGCTACAAAATAAACATGATTACATACACAAGGAAAACAATTCAAAATAAATATTACAAAGGTGGACGAAACTTATATTTTTCTGAAAAAGATAAAAATATTCCAGGAGGCCATAATGTCATCCTCCAAACTGAACACTGAACTCCAAACTGAACACTGAACTGGACTAAACACAAAGAGGTCTGAGACACCATTACTGCTTAAGTGAAAAGGATCTGAGTCCTCCTTCAGGAACTGTTATAGTGTGAACACAGAGACAACTGGGTCCTTTTTCACTTGGTCCACCTCTTGGTCCACTTAAAGGGGTCTGGGTTCGGTTCTTTTAAAGAGGACTCAAGTGTGAAAAGACCCTTAAACAGCATAAGCATACTGCAAAATAAAATTCCAGGACTTTCAAGTACTTGCACTACTTTTTTTTGGTTTTCAAGAACTAAAATCAGATCTCACTTATCAATCAATATTGTTATTATCTTTCAAATTCTAATAAATAATCTAATAAAACAAAATGGTACAAATAAAGTACAGCACATGCAAAGAATGCAATGACTGTGGCAACTTTAACATTTGAAAGGATACTATGGCAAAGTTATCGCTTTACTTATTCAAACTGATTTTTTTTTTCATGAATATATGATTGACCTGAAGAATGAAAGCTATATCATATACTTGGAAAATTATGAGCTTTATTATGCTCATAGACACTAGGGGTGTGACAATAGACTTAGCTCACAGGGTGAGACAAAATGCAGATACTTGGTTCACTAGAACGAGACAATGTTTTAATACTTTAATAAATTTTCAAACGACAAAATATTTGTCTTTTAATCACAAAAAGTAAAACAATGCAGTTGTATTTTGAAATGTTTTAACTAATCTAGGGCTTACCTAATGATTATTTTGCTAATCAAGTAATCTACTGATTATTTTGACAAGTGAGTAATCTGATGTTTTTGAAACATCATGTTTTTTATTTTAGCCGTGAGTGAAAAACAGGCTTTAATATGACTATATTTATATATAAAGTAACGATGAGGCAATAATAATTGGCCTCAAATAAAGTATCAAAATTAAGTACATGGTTTTATTGAACAACATTGTTGAATACATAATGTAATATGCCTATATTATAACAAATACCTGCAGAGGGCGCCAACAGCCTGGTGAGGTTTCACGTGATTCAACATTTAAATCCATTTAATTTTAATATTTGGCCACATGCAAAGTCAGAAACCTTTATTTTGAAATCGTGATGTACAATAAATCGCATATTTAGAAATATGTTGATGTATTCTCCTGTGTTGGCATAGGTTTAAATGATTTACATTACAAATCAAGTGAGTTTTCCCCGATGAATGTTAAGCAACCCAAACTCACCGCATATGCAGAGGAAGAGTTCAGTCCCTTTCACACATACAGTCTTTACTGGTAAATTACCGTTAAGAGATCATGTATGAACAGGACCTTTTCAGAAATACAGGTAAATGCATTCTGGCAATCATATCATTCTTATGGAGATGACATGATTACTCTGAGCTGTTTACAAAGCTCCGCTGCTTTTTAAATAGCTTTTCTATGTAAATATGACGCTAGATGGAAATTTTTGACCACTGCACCTCGCAGATTTTTCAATGTGTCGCGCTCGAGACCCAGGCTTCTTTTCCATTCATCAGCTGCGACTCTGCAATTGGATACTATTATGCGCGTCTCGTGTTTATAAGAGCAAAAACTTCTGATTGGCTAGTAATGTTAGTTTGGTTGAGAGTGAAAGCGGTGTTCCTCTCATACATTGGTAGGCGAACTCATGAACTAGAACGTGATATCAACAAGTGATATAAAAGAAAAAAAAAATTCCCGCAGCCAAACGCTGCATGCCGGAGATCCGGCACGGTGCCGGAGAACTTTGATTTAATCACCATTGGTAGCTCGATTTATTGTAATGCTTTTTTCCTCAGTT